AATATAAAACTAAAAATCTGTTTAATAAATTTAAATTTTATTTAATCTATTTCAATAAAAATACAATTGATTAAATTCAGTTTATGATATTGATAGTATTGATCTTAATCTTTTCAATTTAATTTAAATCTTTTCAAATCGATTTTAAACTATTTAAATCGATTTTTTAAATTAATCTTTTAATCGATTTTAATTAATATTAAATGATATTAATCTATTTATATTGATTAACTATCTAATCAGTTTTAATCATTATATGATTTATATTGATTTATATCAAAATGATTAAATGTAGCAGGGTGATTTAAATTGATATAAATCTATTATAGATAAATATCAATATATATTCTTTAAAAAAATTTGGTGATATAATTAACTTAATAAACTAAACTTACAAAATTACAATCTAAGAAACAGACAAAATTTACTATACCAATTAAGATTCAAGTTTTGAATATTATTCAAATTTGTTGACAATAAGATTTAAATTCTAAACCTTTATAGTAGTCTAATAATTTAACTACTATACTAAATCACTAGATCTCTTAATATAGTTATATTATTTTTTTTTTTGTTATTAAAGTAGTTTATATTGCTGAAAGAATTTTATTAGAGTTGTTAACAGAATTATATATTGATAATCTCTACTGTTTGTAATTATATAAAGAATATATAACAAGCCACATGTATAACTTTAGTTATTGTTTATTTTAAGTAGTTTGCTACATAGACATTAGGCTATCTGATTGGTTCTACACTATGCTGCTATACCTATAACCTGTCTGTGAGTTACCTATTTAAACACTCTGTTCATTAATCTATACAGATCTAACCTAATATTATTACAACATCTAATCATTTAAGCTAGCTAGCTTATTACAAATCTATTTATTTAGAATAGTTTAGGTTCTCTTGAGATATATTATACCAAACATATTGCTAGTATTGTAGAGCCAGTTAACTTTAAAGTAAACCTACTAGAGCAGTCTGTACTTATTTTACAAATTCACCTAACTTAGACCCTTGTAGATATTCATACAACTTCAGATTCTACTGTGATCTTCTACTAGTCAGTTAATCTAATTTTTTTCTAGTATCTAGCTAGTTCTGATTACTCTTCACCTAGAGACCTCAAAACCTTTTATCTTTATTAGACTAAGTTTTCTTCTTAGATCAGACTTTAGCTAATATAGTTCTGTCAGAAGGCTGTATTACTTCACTGACTTAGAATTTCTACTATGCAGATTCTCTGCTCATATATTCTATTAAGATTTATTTATATAATATTACACTATACTTCCAAGTTCAAATTAATTTGATGCAACTTAATTTACAGTTAATACTCTCAAAAATGAACAGGATTTACTGTAATATATTATAAGATCTGAGAAATTATTCAAATTTGTTGACAGTAGGATTTGAACCTCAGACCTATTATATGGTAGTCTGACAACTTAACTACTATACTAAATTACTAGACCTTCTTAATATAGTTTTATAATTTATATAAAAGATAATATTTTTTAAAAAAATTACTAACTATACATAAAGTGTTTGAAATATAAGTTTAATTTTTTATAAAAACAAAAAAAATATTATATTTATAATATCTATATTTTTTTTTTTTTATTGTTAAAGCAGCTTATATTGCTAAAAGAATTTTTATTAGTGTTGTTAACAAAATTATACATTGATAATTCCTACTATTTGTAATTATATGTAAAGTATACAACAAGCTACACATACAACTTTAGTTATTGTCTATTTTAAATAATTCATTGCATAGATATTAGGCTACCTAATTAGTTCTAAACTATGCTACTATATCTGTAACCTACTTGTGAGTTACCTATTTAAATATTCTGTTTATTAATCCATACAGATTCAATCTAATGAATAGAAATAACATAATTATATTATTTCTACTTAATCTAGGTTATGTATGATGACAGGATTATTTGCCTGTCATCATTCAAGTGATAAATAATTCATGCTTGCATTATCAGAGATATATTAGTATTCACTCTATTATTCGAGTGACAAACAATTCAACTTGTATCATCATTCAAGTGATAAATGATTTGCACTTGCATTATCAGAGATATATTAGTATTCACTTTATCATTCAAGTGACAATTAGTTCACAAGTTTGTCATCATTCAAGTGACGATTAGTTCATGAGTTCGTCATCATATTTGCTTCATCATTCAAATGACAAGCATTTTGTATTTGTGTCATTATTTTCAAATGAGTATGTATCTGATGATGCATTCAGTTACATATCGTCATTTGCAGGCTTAATGTGAGGGCTATATCTGAACTAAGTATGTAGTGCTCTAGCTTTTTGGTTAATTCCTCAATGATAGCTAGAGTTGAGGCATATAGTACAGAATTGTTATCTATTTAGTAGTAGCCAAAAGTGTAATTTTTATAATATATATCTTTCTATAATAATTATATCTTTGACTACTACTACGAGTACACTATGTTTTGGATTTTTAGAAACCTTTCTTACATAGTTGATACTTTTAGATACTACCACATCAAAAAAAAATATTGTGCTTTTGTATACTACTGAATAAATACTTTAGGTTATTACCAAAAAATATTTTGAAAATTTTATTCTTACTTTTGTGTACTACTGAAAAATTTTACACTTTTGTATACTACTGATTTTTATCTTAGTCAAAATCAGACAACACAAAAATAGTTATTGAAGAAGCTAAGCTTTGAGTCTCTGACTCATATATACCTTATATATCAAAAGCACTTACCTGAAATTATCTTAATTAAAATCGCATGACACAGAAATTCCCTTTATATAATCTAGATATTGAAGTATTAATTTTTGATTTGAATTTTTCTGTATACTCATTGTAAAAAGCAACAAAAACCCCTTTACTTGAGATGAATAACTAGTTAAATATAGCAATCTCTCTTCTTCAGAAATTACTACTTAACTAGATGATATTGTCTTAGTACCTTATACTTGTTTTATTAAAAGATTTATAACGATTATGCATATTCAATGTTTGCTAAAGATTTATTTTTCAGTTCTATTTTATGTAGAGTAGTAGAAACTTTTATTTTAGCCTCAAAGTTTCATTTATATTCTAGGAAAGTAACCTTGTCCATACTCTCATGCTCTTTTTTTCAATAATTATAGTTATCCTGCATTTTAAAGGCAATTTTAGTTCACTATTGTTCTAATTTTTCTTTTGACATTTGGAATTTTTGCTATAAAAGAAGGATAAGTATATCTATATTAGATTTGTTTTTAATGAGAAATTCTGAAGATAGAGAAATTGCTAGAGGCGAGTATATCATATCTAAGAATTTTTCAGAATTATTTGATTAATGTTGAGTTGATATCAAAGAAAGCAATTGTAACAAATTTATTATAAGTTTCTCAACAATACTATTACAAGAACTCTTTTTACAAATCGCATTACTGGATAATTTAGAGTATCGAAGTTTTGCTTCTTTTGAAATAGTGATATCAGTGGTAATGGGTATTGAATTGAAAAGTTCTTGGATTTCATCAATCAATTTCAACTTATATAATGGAATAATTAGAGCTATAGAATGATAATTAGAAATATATAACTTTGTAGCTATTACTTCTTCTTGATTTTTAAAACCAGCTCTACTATATAGTCTATGATTAATCTAATAATTATGTTTCTATACTTGATGTCTCTTAGAACCTACATAAGTTGCACTACTCTTAATAGTATAACTACACCAATTTTCTACTATTATATTAATCAATTTTATTGTAGCCTTGAGATCGAGTAATCCTTTAGCTCTGGTCCTAAAACTGAAAAGTAATAATGCATCTTCCTGAATTTTAATAATTTTTCTCGTAATTGATCAAAAGTTTTAGCTACATTATCATCAGAAAAAATATTTATATCATCTATATCACTGAAGCCTATCAATTAGACAAGATTATATACTACTTCTCACTACTTAGCTGAATAACATTTATACAAAACAACTGAGAACAGATCTATAGATTCATGTGAATTTTCCTATTGCATTTCTTCTTTGATTTTTAGATTTTCTATAGAATTTATTGCATTAGAACCTTGCCTTCTGAAATATGCTAGCCTCCTAAAATGTTGTAAAGGTTTAGAATTATTATATCTTTTTATGAAATCTATATCACAAAGCTTAATCTAATCATTGTTATTCATACTCTAGTTCTGAATATCATTCTTGTTACTAATATCACCTAAAGCATATGTTCTCTATAAATAATGTCATTGCAGAGTTATGTTATCAGCAAAAGAATATTTAGGATTTTGCTTAAGAATTTCAGCTTCATTAGAACTAATATCTGGAGCATTAGCTATTAATTCTGCATCTGAGCTTTTAATTTTTTTCTCAATATTCTTAATAGTATGAGAAATTTTATTTTTGTTAACTTTTTCGGTATCTTCTGCTAAAATTAACTTGAGTGTTGTACCAGTACTAGCAATAAAACTACATAGAATCTCAGGAAAATATTTGGCTAATAAGTATCTTTAATATTCGACCTCAATATAAGTCTCTACAGCTGGAGATAAATCAAGAGTATAACAATCAGCTATTTTACTTCATTCACAATGATCTTTTATAGCAGTTAGTAAATCTTCAGATTTCAAAGCAGAGAGTTCAGCATGAATGAGATCATGATTTGGTTCTTTAAAAATACTAGTTTTTTTACTATTATAGAGAGAAATAATATGATATAGGCAATGCAAACATGATGGGCTGTGGCGTCCTTCCTTCGAGGTACTTTTAGTCACTCTTTCTAGAAGTCTGAAAGTAAAGAGGTTAAAGGTCACTATAGCAGATCGCACTTAGGTACCATAATGGTAACCGAGTGAGTTAGTACTTAGCAATAGTCACTAGATAGTAATATATACTAGATAGAAATGTTTTAGTCATAGATTAAAATTGTTGATTAAATAAAGTATTAGCATGATTGCTGAAAAAAAAAAAAAAAAAAAATATGATATAGGCAATTGTGAACTCGATAAAATATTTGAGCAAAAGCTTCAGTATATACTCCTATATTAATATTACTTATTCCTATAATAGCATCAAAATAATTAGAAATTTCAAAAAAGATGCTAGCTTCTACAGTACTTGTATAAATCACACAATTAAGACCACTCCAAGTAGCATTAATATTAGCAAAATCATCCTGCTATTGCTTCCCATCTATTTGGCCAAAATAAAACTTATAATAAAACATACGAGCTGTCTGGTTTTTGCAGTTTTGAAGCTTGGTTTGCTAAAGCTTATACTTTTTTGCATGAGGTCATTAAAAAGGCAACTCATTTACCTTCTTGAAGTAACTTAAGACCTCTATGTATAGCTTTTGATCCTTTATCTAGATCATAAAGAATTTTAATAGTCTCATCTTTATATAGCTTATATTTGTTATTATAAATTCTTATATCTCTACCTCGATATTGTCTCAAAAAGTTTAAAGTTGATTTATTTGCAAATGTATCCATAGAAATAATATGAACTGCTGATTTTAATAAATCTTACATAGTATTTTCAGATTTATATGCATGAACTCCACTAGATATTTGGCACATAATAGCATTATTTTCATCTAAGATAACATGTAAGAATGTTTCCCATAGAAATTGAGACGATAGGTACTTTTAACTTAGATAATAATAATATTCTAGTTACGTATAGCTAAATCACTCTTATTTTCTTAATAATAGCATACACGAAGCCCTGAATTTTGCAATATTTCAACTTTAGCTTTAGTCTTATTGCTAAGAGTTTTATGATATGAAACCTAGTTAAAACAAGAGAAATTTGCTCTATTTTTGGCTAAGGAATCAAGAATTTCTCTTAGAGTTTTTGTTTTGCTACTAGCAACAGGTAAGTAAATAAGAGTTATAGTAGGATTCTCACTTAAGAAATCAGGATAAGCTTCTGGCATATCTTTTATTTTCTTTACATTGATGATTTTTTCAGATAATTTGACAAGTAGGCATAGATTTAATATGGTATTAGGTAATCTTTCAATTAATCTCTACTTAGGCTTTTCTTTTGACTCAACTTTGTTTGATACCTTACTAAAGCTAAGGCCCTTATAATCTGACTTGTATTGTTTTGGCAATAATATTTAAATACGAAATCTTTATTTTTTCAAATAAACCTATAAAGTTGGGCTTTTTCATGTTTAATATCATATATAGAGTATTCTTTAATATATTGTGTTTGAAAGTTGATAAATCCCTTCTCAATTCTTCTAATCTGGAGCTACTCGTAATTTGCAATAACTAAATTGGCTCCCTTAACCAAGACATTATCATCATTAATAGGTTAGTATTTCTCTTCTGCTAACCTTTCTTCTGAAAAGATTTGTGGCTAGATTACAGAATAATTTTCTTTAGGCTGAACCAGGTAATTATCTAAATTTTTAAATCCTTTATTTATAGAAGAGATAGCAGGTCTTTTTATATATCTCTCTTTTGCTGATCTAAGAAGTCAAAGTCTAAAACGTGATTTGGAGAGGCTAACATTAATGAAATTGGCATAAGGTTCTCCAACTAATTCTATAATCTTTTTTGTAAATCCCTTAAGTTCTCTATAATCTATAAATTAGATACAAGGATTAATAATATGCCAACTATATTTCTCAGCATTTAATGAACTTGCCAAAACAAAGTTATTTAATGATACCATACAACTCAATATGGAATATAATGTATTTGCACAAGCTACTAAAATTCAAGATATCAAATCTTCTCGTATAATTTTTTTACTATCTAAAGAAGCATGTTTAGGATTATTTAGATCAGATTTTTGTCTTGCATCATTATCAATAATTAAGCATAGGGATTAGTTCCTATCAATACATTCATGAGTATCAGGTATTCTATAAACTTCAAAGGGATGATTGATCACTATATAACCTTTTTCTGCTATCTGAATTATATTTTGAGAATAAATCTCTTCAGGTCGATATATATTTAAAAGTGCAGTATCATTTTTATCAGTATGGCTATGACCTTTTAGAGAAGACAGAGTTTCAGATCTTCAATCTATTGCCCCTTCAGATCTAAATACAAGCCAGTATTTATAAAATATATATTCTCTATGGCTAGGTTTATAATTAAGATCTGTTAAACTCATAAAATGTCTTTTTGCTTCATTATATTTAGCTGACTTTTGATTTAAGCACTATTGCTGTAATGATTTATAAAGACATTTTTTTGCTTTACTAGACAAACTCATTTTATTGATTTGTATATATGTTGTTTGTATATGTGCATTGTTTGATCTGACAAAAAGTATATATTATTGAAACTATATTAATTAGTAGATAAATCTTTAAAATAAAATTAATTATTCCAGAAATTTTAGCTAAATGCCAAAAAAATTATATATTTGATTGAAGTAATTATTATATATAATCATGATGATATTATACTATTGTTTATATATTTATAGAACTGAAAAAATCTGTAGTCAACGTAGTAAATTAGAAAGATGTTATATTAATTATAATTTTCCAATATCTACTCCTTGTAGAGATTGTGATAAGCCAAATAGGTCTAAATATAATATACGCAATAAACATGTAAGAAAATATAAAAGTAAAGAGAATTATGACAGAAAAAAGCAGGATGAGTTATGTGCACAAATTACCAGGTTTAAGAATTATATATATGACTTCCCTAATTCTATACATAAAGTCTAATCATATACCTAGCATACATATATATTAATTATTTTTTCTAAGATCTCTTATTTTGGAAAAATAGTACTTATGTATCTAAGTAATATTATATCCTCTTTGATGCCTTCTATATTTTTAGTAATTTTATTATGTAGAGCTATAGATTCTAAGACTTTATTTTAGGATAAATAATACTTTGTGCCTGATCAAACACATATTTTGTTTGTGCCTATTTTCTGATAAAATTACTTTAACAGCAATCTATTCAATTTTTGAGTATATATACTGATTCAGAATAATTAATTTTGATTTGAAAAAATATTTTTTATAATGTATATAACCTAAAAAATTGTTCATAAATTACTTGACCTACTAAAACATTAGATTATATCAGCTATCACGACTAAAATCATTGAAAAATACAATCTCAACTCCAAGCTAAATATATCTGATTTCAGCAAATATATTTTAGAATTTCTTAAGAACCTTACTGATAATAGAAAGTAGAATCAGACTCAATGATGTTTTTGGGATAGTTTGATAGTTTTAAATTTAGCAGTGAACAGGTAGGTATATTGATACCTAATCAGAGAAGTAGAAAAAATAAAACTATAAATTTAGTTGAAGGTAATTGTAGAATAGCTATAACCAAGCCCCTAAAAAGTTTAGAAAAAGAGATCATCAGAGAGAAAGCAAAATAAATCTTGCAAAATAGATATGGGTTTAGTGAAGATCAAGTAAATACCTTATTCACAATCTCAAAAAATGAAAGTAGATACAGTGTAATTACCTTAAATAAAAATGTAAATATTGTAATCGCCAATTAACTCTTTAAAGGAATAGAGGAAGAAACAATTAGGATATAGCATAATAGATTTTACAAGATAAACTTAGTATTAGAGATATAAGAGCTGAAGCTTATGCTTTAGCTCTATCAGCAAAAAATGCTAATGCTGGCTTATTATATCTTACTTGTCTTTATAGAGAATTAAGAAACCTTAATGTATCACTTGAGATAATTGAGGTTACAAAATTTCTAGATATTACAGAAGATGCTAACAAAATTCAGAGTATCAATCAGAAAAAAGCTGAAGCTAAACGTATTGATTATTCAGATGAATTTATATTAGAATTAGTCAAAGAAAGATTAGATATATATAATATTAAAACTTTATCTGATTATCAGGCTCTTGCTGATATTATGATGATACTTTGTATTCATCCTGCTGAACTTAAAACTTTACGCATTACAGATACTAAAATAACAGGTTATGTGAAGAACTGAAATCAGCTAGATTTTCCTAGAAAATTTAGATCTATGGAAAAGAATCAAGAACGAGTCAAAGAACTACTCACTTGGATTCAGCATGCTATATTATCTAGACGAATAGGTGATCTATGTAAGTCAGAAGTTAAATAGTTCAATAGATTCTTAAAAGATTATGATTTAATTTCAAAATATTTATATAAATTAGGAACAGTTTACAGTGCAGTAGCACATAAAGCTAAAAATATGGCCTACACTTATACAATTGCTAGAGAATGTCTACATTATTTATCTAATAATCATACTTCTCCTGTGCAAAATTACATTGTAGTCAATTATAGAAAAAGAGGAGTTCCTTATAAGCAAGCAAGACGATTTCATATCTATGATCAAGATTAATTACGCTTCTTTATTTTTAACATATCTATAGTAAAATCTTTATTATTATAAGAGAATTCAGAGCTAAACTCAGATTCAGATGAGAACTCAAATGTAGTATCATTAAAAATTGTTTTTTTTACATGAATAAATCTTGATAGGATCTATGAGCAGGGAACCTGCATGGTAGAAATCCCAAGTT